CCTTTTCTAGTTAATTGCTCCTTTAAAATGAAAAAGTTATCAAAATTTAATCTCAGGAAAATTATATTAATTATAAACTATGTATCCATACAACCTGATTACACTTCTGTATACTTACAATTAACTTTGCTTCCAATTCTATCATGCATAAACTTCTCAATAAATTTTGTCAAGATGATTTTCTCAAAAACATTTTGCACCTCAAAAACCACATTCCATTTTAATAAGTTTTTAAGTTAGTTTCCCATTGGATTTATGCCTTCGGATCTTGGAGAGAAAGACTTGATAGTCCTAGCACTTTATGTAAAGAATTGAAGGTATTTCTTCTCAACAAGTTCTTGTCATGTTGATCAAATTTTCATGTATATATATCACTAAAGATTACATTGGATTATATTTCTGACGATAATATACTCCAATTTATTTCACTCATATGAGGTACCTCATCTACTCATTACTAAATTGTTCATTTTCCATGAAAGTCTTCACTGTTCAAATTTATGATTGGTTCTGCTTATAGATTTGAATTAAATCAATTCTGCAATTGATTGCTCAAGTCATCTGATATTGTGAATTATTTTGCATTCACCTCCCTTATATTCATTTCAATATTTTCTCCCCACTACCTCTTAGATATTGAATGATTTTGATCCTCAGTTCCTTGATTTGTGTTTTGATTTGTATACTTTAGAGTTCATGTTATGATTTGCCTTAAAAATCTTACCCACCATACAATTGGCAAGAAAATAAGTAAAATTGGATTACTTTTCCACATTTTCCTACTTACTTTTTTCTATTCAATTTGTATTACTCTCCAGCATATGTGTTGATATTCTACTAAATGATTTTCAATATTTGGATATTGTTATTGTAGCAGATCATTGTGAATTTGTTAATCATTGTTTAGTTATCATTTATTTTGTATCAATAATTATTTTTGACTGAGCAGCACTGCTTGATAGAAACATGAAATATAATTATTTATACCATTTTCACTTTAGCCTGATAGGAACTTATCATGGCTTCCCATGATCTTCATACAAGTTTTTTGGAATGGAC